AGGTAGTAAATTTGATTAGAAGATATGGAAAAATTATATAGGTTTATTGTATATATAAATCTAATACAAATACTCCCTCCGTCCATGTATGATCTTCTCATTACGCGTTACGAGGCTTAACCGACTTTATTTTCAATTCAATTCAATTGATTATTGGAGTAAAATTTTAAAATAAAATTTATATAGTAATAAACTACATGAAAAGTTCTACAAAACTAGAGGTGACAAGATTATATTATTTTATGAAATGACGTGTAAAATTGAGCAAACAAAGTGCGTAAAGTTTGACCCTGTGAATAGTGTCTGGGAAGATCTATGGTGGACAGAGGGAGTAAGTTAATTCTGTAAAGCAAAATTTTGAAATATTATATTTTTATAATACCCTATTTGTATATAAATAGATATGAATTATTTTTAGGCCTAGTTATATATTTCTTCCTTGCACTTTTCACATTTTTTGACCAAACAAAATATTAAAAAAAATATACTCCGTATTTTTTTTGTAGGTTGACCATTCAATAGTGGAAAGCTTTGCACAAGGAGGGAGGACTTGCATAACATCAAGAATTTACCCAACAAAAGCAATATATGAGAATGCCAAACTCTTCTTGTTCAACAATGCCACTAAGTCCTCAGTCACAGCTTCTGTTAAGGTTTGGCAAATGAATTCTGCAGAAGTGGAATCGGCCGAGTCTTCCTCCATGTAGGTTTTGTAATCAACTATCTACTTGTATTTTATTTTTATATACATATATTTGTGTAATTTTATCTATCTATAGAATGCACACAATTCTACTCCTTGTAACTTTGTTTTTTTCTTCTTTTGTAACCAATTGGTTGAATGTTGTAAAATGTGATTTTGATATTTCTCCTGTCTTCTAGAAAAATATTTCTCAAGCTAGATGTGGAGTTTGTTCTCTTCAACTAATTATTCTTAATGAAATTATATTAAATTAAAACAAACCAGACAAGATCAGGTTGTCTTTTTTAGCGTAACTCTTTTGACACATAGATTCAGTGTCGTAAATTCTTAATATGATGACCTTCCTTGCAAACTATATACGGAGTCATCAACTTTCAACTTGTATTGTGTTTTCATACACTACTACATATATTTTTGTGTAACTTTATCTATAGAATGCACACAATTCTACTACTTGTATCTCTTTTTCTTAACTTTATCCAAATCAAATACGCTTAATTTTTTACTAATTTTTTTCCTTAATGAGCTTCGGAAAAGAATGATACCCCACTGGTCGTGCTAGTATGAGTTAAATCTTTTAAATTGCGGAGTCATATGTTTAGATCTATTTGCTTGAAACTTGACACATCTTCAGATAAAGTCTCAAGTGAGGGCCGGCCTTAACATGAGTCAATAGGGGCAATGGCCCAAGGCCCAAATAAAGTAAAGGCCCATTGTGTAAAAGAAAAAAAACATTTTGTATTAGTTTTAAATATGCAAATAAAATGGCTAAAAAAATTATTTTAGGAAATGAGAAAACTTATGTTTTATTTGGCTTAACTTTTTTATGCAAGATGCTATGGACCATGAATCCTTGTGATGTCTTGCGCTTTTGTGCTTCATATATTACATTTTTAAAAAGAAAATTGTAATAACTTCAATTTTTCAAATATGAAATTCTCAAGCTTGATCTAAAATTTCAAATCTGAAATTTTCCCAAATACCACCATTAACAGTCATCCCATGCAAATTCATGCCAAATCTGAAATTTTCAAGCCTAAAACCTATTCTATCACCACTTTTGATAATACTCCCTCTATCTCTGAGTCTAACACATAACACCAAGCTTTTAGTAAAAATTCTTAGTGTCAGGCTATGGATGAAGAATTTATCACTTTGAATGAACAACGCACATGAGATTTGGTACCATCGTATGATAATCGCACTCCGATTGGTTGTAAGTGATATTGATTATAAGGAGACTCGCCTTGTACCCAATGGTTATCATCAAGAGTGTGATATTGATTATAAGGAGACTTTTAGTCTTGTTGTTAAACAACAAATGGTATGCCTTATTCTCTATTTGGCTCTTAATCATGATTGGCCTCTACATCAGTAGGATGTCAGTATCGCCTTTCACTAAGGCACTGTGGACAAAGATATCTATATGGAGCAACCATCGAGATACATAAATCCCCAGCGTCTGTACTATGTTTGCAAGCCGCGGAAGTCCTTGTATGGTTTCAAACATGCCCCACGTGCGTGGTACACATGCCTATCATCTTTTTTTGCAGGGCCTTAGTTTTTGTTGTTGTGTTCATGACACCATTCTATTTACTCGTCATTGTGCTCAAGGCACAGTCATCATACTTGTCTATGTTGATGACATTGTCATTACACGTAGCTCGTACGCGCGTGATCTTCTCTTCCTGACATGCATGTCAAAATGCCATCTTGTCGTTACTCCCATGGCGGCTCGACTTGTAATCAAGTCTTCTAGCTCTTTTCAAGAATCCTTCTCACTTCTGAATCATTGTTAGTGGTTTACATTATCTAGATGTTACTCGTCTGGATATTTAGTACGTTGTTAATCAGGTGTCTCAAATATGCACAACTCGACTGAGCAGGATTATAATGCCTTGCAGCGTATTCTACTATACCTAAAAGGTACTCAACACCTTGGTCTTCTTTTTCATAAGGGGGGACTTGATCCATCTGTTTACTCTGAATTTTATTGGGCAAATGATAAAGATGATCGCAAATATACTACTGGTTACATGCTCTTCCTTGGTCCCAATCTCATCCCTTGGTGTACAATTGCTAATATGACATATAACAATACTTTTTCTATACACCATACTCCCTCACACATAAAACTTTCTGCTCAATTAGTATTCACATAGGTAAATTTTAATAACTTTCTTTACCTAATTTTTTTAGTTATTTGATAAAATATTATAGTGATATCACTTTTGTTTTGTAAAACTTTTGATGTACTTTTATAAATATAATTTTTATTTCTAATTTTTACACTTATAATAAAATAAATAGAACTTAAAAAATTTTCAGAGAAATCTCGTCAATCCAAAATTGGAAGGAACTTTTTGGATGGAGGAAGCACTACATATAATACACATATTACTCTTTCTTAAATAAAAAAGAGTCCTTTGGTGCTCCTTGGATGCATATCATTTTTGTGGTCCTTCTCACATGAATTTTTTTAATATTTTTATTTAGAAAATATATACTTATTTAAGTAGTAAGAAAATGCTTATTTTGCTCATATGTAGATCAATGATGGACCCTAAGTCCATCATAGAGTTGGTCATAAAAAAGAGAAAGTGTAAACTTGATAGTAGGAATATTTATAACGCTACTCATTCGTCTTAAATTAAATGTCACTTTACATATAAAGAGGTAACCGAGGTTTTGACAATGTTAAAATATATAAGACAAATTATTACATGCACTTAAGGTCTATAGTGGAACTTCATTTATGCTAAATAATAAGCATTTTCAAATGCTAAAATAAGAATTTTTAAAATTTAAAAAAATATGTGAGAAGGTTCATGTGAACCTTAGGCCCACCATAGAACCACTAAATATATAAATATCTTATGGACCTATAACTATAAAATTTAGTTGTTGTGTCAAACAACTATAGTTAATGTTTTAGTCTAATTTAAGTATATATTTCACATGATAACTACCACATTATAACTGCCACACATTGCCATTAGAGTGCCGTCACAGATCACCGACGGTTGACTAATCACATTGACATATTACATGGTCATCACTTTTCCATCATACTACCAACGCGTACTCTTACACCACACTGTCATTATAATTCTATTTTAGTCTTAAAAGACTTAAGACTCCTATTTTGATATTTTTATATATTTTTGCTACTATTAGCTAGGGTGATTTCATTAAAAAATAATCTAAAATTCGACTTGGTATAATTATACTATGCATATGATTCTTGCAATCTTGCATGTATTAAGTAAAAGTCACACACTCTCTATAGACGAGACAGTGATTATAACTCAATTTACTTTATTTCAACTTATTATATAACCACCCACAGCTTTCAATGATACAAATGTTGCGCAAATCAAATGGCCAAAAGTCGAAAATATTCTCTAATTAAAGCAGAAATTTTATTAGGGAAGAGTCAATGTTTTAAATAATATCTTAAAAATATATACTTAAATTAGACTAAAACTTTAACTATATACTAAAAATAGGATATTTTATGCTTTTATTTCTTAAATAGAAGCATTAACATTGTGTAATACGACAATCTCATATTGTAATTGGATATTTAATAATATTTTATGACATGATACATTAAGACTCTCTCATCTTATAAGACTTATTTTTGTATAAACATATTGAAAAACATATTTTGTTACTAATTAATTAGAGAGTTTTTCTTTAAAAACTAATGTTTTCCACTTCTTCTTCATTTTATTCTTCTATCATCCATTTCCATTATCCAAAATCCCCAAACACCAATAGATGTGAGTCAAAATAAAAAATATTGCCTGGGTTGAGAAGGTAGCTAGTGTCACAGGAGATTAAAATGGATTCAAATCTTGGCCAGGAAAGGAATGACCCATGTCAAGCATGAGGGTTTTCCAAGTAACAAAGATGGATCTTGCTCTATTTCAATTAGATTGATACTCCCTGTGTCCATAGATCTTCCCAGACACTATTCACATGGTCAAACTTTACTCACTTTGTTTGCTCATTTTTACTAGTCATTTTGTAAAATAATATAGTCTTGTCACCTCTAGTTTTGTAGAACTTTTCATGTAGTTTATTACTATATAAATTTTATTTTAAAATTTACTCCTATGATCAATTAAATTGATTTGAAAATAAAATCGGTCAAGCCTCGTAACGCGTAACGGGAAGATCTTAGGTGGACGGAGGGAGTATTATATTGATATAATTTGATAATAATTGGTCTTATTGAATAATGAAAGATACATTCATATATAAAGAGATTACATTAAAAGATAGAAATCTAATCTACGTAGGAAAAGAATTATACTAACAATATAATAAGGAAGTAATGTAATAAGGAAGGTAATGAAGAATACTCCGTAGTATTCTATTTCCTAATACATCTGTTTTTGGAGCACAGGTACTGAAATGGAACTGGCGGAAGCAGTTTTGTGAGGATGCCCCTAGAATTGAAGTAGAGAGCTAGATCTTCGTTACAGGAACGAGCTTGAGATTACTTTGATGAGTTTTGACTGGTGAGAGTGTTGACGACTAGAGCGAGGGCGAGAAGTTTTTTTCTCATTTTGGATCGTTCTATGCTTTTCTATCGTTTTCCATGCTCTCGATATCCAGAAAAAGTACAGACAAATGCAGCTTTCTCGGTTTTCGATCATGCACATGATTTTTTGGGAAGAAAGAGAGATAATGAATTTTTGGAGAGAGAGGGATAACGGACGTGGCTGTTAGACATGCTCGTCGAAATCAGTCTGTGACGCCATGTTGTCAGCCGGTCAACTTTCGTGGATAGAGACCAGCGATGTGATCGATCGGAAAAAGAAGGGCTAGGTTTTTGAAAATCTTAACTCTGATACCGTGATACAATTTGATAATAATTGGTTTTATTGAATAATAAAATACATACACCCTCATATATATAATTTACAATATAGAATTCTAATCTAAGTTGGCGAAGATTTATAATAACAATACAATAAAGAAGTAATATAATTAGGAAGATAATGAATAATAATATTTTATTTCCTAATACATCTATTATTCCTAATATATAGTTTATTTAAATCCTCCCATTTACTCTTCGAGTTAGTATGGGGAACCCTAGGGTTGGGGTATAAGTGTATAACGTTTTTTTTTAAATCACTAATACTTCCTTTCTAAATAAACTTTACACTCTCCATCGTTGATGTCTAAAAATCAGCTTTATATTTCTCTACTTTTTCTATTAGAAAACAAATATTTGGTTGTAAATTGTATGGTACCGCCAGATTATCGTACATCGATCATTGCAAACATATAATTAAAAAATATTTTAGAATGAATGCTACGTTGTTTCAGAATGAATTCTATGTTATTTTAGAATGAACACATTACATTGAACATAGTTGAAATGAGTACTACATTGTTTCAGAATGAACATCACATTGATTTAAAATGAACATTTGTTAGATGTATCTAACTTTAGATACATCCGCATGTACAGTATAGGCTCTCATACTCAGTATATGGATATCAACATATCGTTGATTCCCTCACTCGTAATTAAATTTCAACCAAACACTTTTAACTTTTCACCGACTTCAATTTTTTTAAATTTTCGTGTAGTCTAAGTGATGTGCTTATTTGGAGATAAAGGAATTAGAAAAAAATTAAATTCACAATTCACAAATTAAAAGAGTGAAAAAAAAGACAGAAAATTTGACAATACATTGGCAATACAGTCTGTCCAAGATAATGTTTTTTTTCCTCTTTCCACTCTGTAGTCGTCCTTCTTTACGCTGGACTCATTATTATTACAGTTATTACTAATGATATTTTTGGGCATTTCGAGCCGACAAGGCCTCACCCCACCCCACCCCCCGCAGAAAAAGTCTTTAGAGCCGTTGAGATTCTAAAATAATCTGTAAAATCTAAATATATTCACGCGTTGTAATTCATAGCCCCCCCTTGAATTTCTTTCCTTTTTTTCTTTCTTTCTTCTTCTTCCCCGCTTCTTTCCTTAAACAGCATCTGATAATGTAAACAGAAGGAAAAAAAGGGCAAAAAGCTGAATACTTTTTCTTGTTTATTGCCTCTTTTTAGAGCTCTGAACTTTTCCAAGGTCGTCATCAATGGCTTCCAGCGGTTGGATGCGGCCGTTTCTGCTCTGCATTTCCCTGTTCTTGGGCTTCTCCTCTGCCGCAGATCCGACTGTGTTTCTTGACTATGAGGTTTCTTACATCACTGCTTCTCCTCTTGGCGTGGAGCAACAGGTGTCTTGAATTTGAATGATTTCTTTCTTGAAGTTGTGTTTATTTATGCTCTGTTTCGATTCTGGGTTTTCTTCAAGACTCGTGATTTTGGGGTTTTGGGTGTAGATCTGTGGGGTTTTGGTGTTAAAGATTTGATCTTTCAGTGTTTCTTGAACTTTCTGTGTGTCATCTTTCTTTCCCCAGGTCATTGCTGTTAATGGGAAATTTCCTGGGCCTCCTATGAACGTGACTACTAACAACAATGTTATTGTCAATGTTCGGAACAAATTGGATGAAGATCTCCTGATGCATTGGTAGAATTTTTCGCAGCAAAATTTAAATAAAAAAATTCTTCATTTTTCAGAAAATTTAAAAAAAAAATCTTTTTTAATGGGATTTGGATGGACACAGGTCTGGGATTCAAATGAGGAAGAATTCTTGGCAAGATGGGGTTCTTGGAACCAACTGTCCAATTCCTGCAAAATGGAACTGGACATACCAATTTCAAGTGAAAGACCAGATTGGCAGTTTCTTTTACTTCCCTTCACTGAATTTTCAAAGGGCAGCAGGAGGTTTTGGTAGCATCATTGTTAACAACAGAGATGTTATCCCACTTCCTTTTGACACCCCTTATAAGGACATACCTATTCTGATTGGCGATTGGTTCACCAAAAATCACACGGTTAGTGACATTTTTGTTACTCACTTCTCTTCTGAAAGTTTTAGGAATTCTTTGTTAGTTCATGGTTTCTTGGCTCACTTTAGGCTCTGAGGAAAACACTTGATGCTGGCAAGAGCCTTGGAATTCCGGACGGCATTCTTATTAATGGCAAAGGGCCTTACAGATACAATAGTTCTTTTGTCCCTAATGGTATTGACTATGAAACCATCACAGTCCAGCCCGGTATGTTTCTTGTAGCTTGAAAGAAAATGTACTAGGAAATAAAACACAAGTGCTAACCATAACTTTATCTGTGAAATTGTGAAATCTCATATTGTTAATTTGTAGTGTGGTGATGATAATTTGTAGTCCTGGATTTCCAAATGTGCAGGCAAAACTTACCGGCTTCGTGTGAGCAATGTTGGGATATCGACGAGTTTGAATTTTCGGATTCAAGGTCATAACTTGCTTCTAGCTGAGTCAGAGGGATCATACACAATCCAGCAGAACTATACTAGCTTAGACATCCATGTTGGACAAACATACTCATTCTTGCTCAGCACTGACCAGAACGCGAGTTCTGATTACTACATTGTCGCGAGCGCGAGGTTTGTGAACGAAACCATTTGGAGAAGAGTCACCGGAGTTGCCATTCTCAAGTACTCTAATTCCAAGGGCGCGGCCCGCGGTCCTCTTCCGGACCCACCACAGGATCAGTATGATAAAACCTTCTCTATGAACCAGGCAAGATCCATAAGGTCTGTTTCTTCTTTATCCGTAAGTGGAATTTTTTTTTTGGGACGGATATTTTTCGGGTTCCATAAATTGGTGTTATTTGTACATGTAGATGGAATGTGACTGCGAGTGGGGCTCGACCCAACCCACAAGGTTCTTTTAGATATGGTTCTATAAATGTGACCGAAGTCTACGTCATAAAGAACAAGTCCCCAATGAAGATTGGAGGGAAACAACGAACCACCATCAATGGGATCTCATTTCAAAACACAAAGACCCCAATAAGGCTCGCCGATTGGTTCAAGCTCAAGGGGGTGTACAAGCTCGACTTTCCCGCGGGCCCACCACCCGCGGGCTCGCCTCCTCGGGTCGAGACATCGGTCATAAACGGGAGTTACAAAGGGTTCATGGAAGTGATACTGCAAAACAATGACACTAATGTCCACACGTATCACTTGAGTGGATACGCGTTTTTCGTTGTCGGGTATGATCCAATGACTCTTTTCGCTTTGATTCCTTCTTCGCCCATTCTAGTTACAGTCAAAATCAAATGAATGAATGTTTCCAGAAACCCAAAATGATGAAAATCCCATGGGCCAATCATAACTTGTGTTTCCTGATCCAAATCCTTTTTTGCCCATTCTTGTTGTGCTTAAGTTGTGTTTGGTTTGCATTCATTTGTCACGCAGGATGGACTACGGGGAGTGGACGAACAATAGCAGGGGAACTTACAACAAGTGGGATGGGATCGCGCGCACGACAGCACATGTTTACCCGGGAGCCTGGACAGCAATCTTAATCTCACTGGACAATGTTGGGATCTGGAACCTGAGAACCGAAAACCTGGATTCGTGGTATCTTGGTCAAGAAACATACATCAGAGTTGTTAATCCTGAGATGACAAACAAGACCGAGTTGTCAATCCCAGACAATGTTCTCTACTGTGGCCTCCTTCAAAGCAAACAAAAGTATGTTCTTATATAGCTCATTTTCTCTTCAAGATTTCACATTTTTGTTATCAAAAAACTTTTCTTGCACGTGCTACAATCACAAACGTGGACTTTTGGTTGAGCCCGTTTCATGGCACCAAAAATCTTGCTAACCCAGAGACTCTAAGCTCGAACTAATTTCATTTATGAAATTTAATTTTTTAAAAGTGGATGTTTATGCTAGACTGAAAAATCTTTCCTGGGCTTACAACCACAGACTTGAGCTGAATGTGTTTTGTTTCTTGTTTCATCACAGGCCTCAAGAAGTGTCGTCGTTTGCGACTACGGGAAGGGAACCGAAAGTGGCGGTTGTCGTGGCGGCGATGGTGTTTTCTGCATTGGTTTCTTCTTTGTTCCTATGATTCCTGCAGAGTTGGGGTTTGGTTGTTGAGGACTGTACTTTTAATTTTTTTAAAAAAAAGAGGAAAATTGTTGGTGGTTATTAACGTAGTAGAATTTTTTTTTAATTTCTCTGGTCATTTGTCACCTTTAACATGTGAGTAATTTTTTTAAATTCTCCAGTTGTATTAATTTTCTTCAGGGATTTCAACATTCTTTTATGAGAACAAGGTGTGATTTTTTTTGAAAGATGTGAAGAATTAGTTGAAGAATGCACAAATTTCAGTTTTCTAAGAGCACTGGTAATGGGCGTAATGCCCGGGGCGTTATTACCCCTTTTAACGCCAAAGGGGCAGCAACACCGTCCCCTTGGGGCTTCATCCGGGCTTCATTTCTTCTACTTCAAATGTTTAACGGGCTTCAAAGCTCTTTCCCTCCCTCCACTCTCTCTTTAAAAAAAATATACACAAACATAATTTTTTTTACTCTATATTTTGTTGTTTAATGTAATATTTTTTTGTTTAAATTTTTTTAGTAATGTAATTTTGTTTGTTTTTTATTAAATTTAACATATATTTTTTTATTGACTGTATTTTTTATTTGATGAATTATTTCAGTTTGCAATATGTTACTACAACTCGAATTTGAATGAAGATATTTGTAGTTGCTTGAATAATTAGTAATTTCTTTGTAGTGTTATTTTTTTATGGATGTGATATTTTTTTAATGAATGAAACTTTTTTATGAATGTATTCTTCTATGAATGTAATATTTTTTTAGTGAATGTAATTTTTTTAATGCACTAATCTCCTTTTGATTAGCTAAAATAATACATTAATTAAAATTTAATAATTTAAATTTAGAAGATGTATATTTAAAAATGCAAAAAATGAAGGTTTGAAGCCCCTGTTTGAAGTCTCGGGGCTTCAAACCCATTTCCAGTAAATTTTTGGTGTAAGTTAAAGCTGACGTGGCAGAGAGAGAGTTTGAAGCCCCGGGGCTTCACGAGTATTTCCAGTGCTCTAAGAAGATTATTTTACACACTCGTATGACATCAAAGTTGATATTGACAGTATCTTGCAGAAAATAACTGATTTCTGCATTATTGTTTATGCATATTTTATAGTTAAAGGTAGCAATTTCTTTCTACTAATGATAGAATTTGCTCCTACGCGGTTCAAATATTTTTTCTATTTAAAAAAGTATGCAATTCAAAATATTTTATTCACTTAAATGAACTATAACTATTCACTTTTTGTTATTTTATTTTTTCAAAATGTTTTTTGAACAATTTATTTTGTTATTACAATAATAATAATAATAATAATAATAATAATAATCAATATTAATAAATAATAATAATAAAGTTAATAATTATTTTTAACTAATAATGATTAATTATAATGATAATAAAAAATAATAATAGTAATTAATAATAATAGGAGTAATAATTAAAATAATAACAATTAAATTAGTAATAATTGTTATTATTATTACTTTAAACAACTAAAATTTAATAATAATGATAATAAGGAGTAATATTTATTTGTAAATATAATAATAATATTGATAATCTTCATCATTAATCATAACACTTAAAATTAATAATAATAATTATTATTTATAATAATAATAATAAATATAATTATTAAAATAATAAAAATCAATAATAAAAATTATCATTACTAATAATAAAAATTATTATTTTAATATTATTAAGTCAAATTGGGTGAGTATATAGATTGATTGGAGCTTTCGTTGTGTGTTGTCATGAATCTCATATCACCCCTGAGACTGAGCTTCAATTCAAAGGGATGAGCTGAAAGATTGGAGCTTTGAGGACAGAGAGAATGAGTCGGACAACGCTGGCTCTGACTCCAGTCCTCTTCCATACGCCGGCATGGTCATCTCTGACAAAAATTATGACAAGAGCAAGATGGAGGATGAGCCAATGCGAGATTTTGGGAGCGAATTGTGTATTTTTTTCAACAGAGATTGATATATTTCCAACGTCTTTTTAACAATATTGTTAGTTTTTGTAGTGTCAAAGCGGGCAAGAGTACTCAATAAAAAGATCAATTCATACAGAGTACTTCGTATATGTTTAGCACTTATCATAGTTTTCTTTAGTAATATCGATTTTGCTATCCAAAAAGAATTAACATGGCAACTTGTTACACAAGTTGAGTTGAGCCAAAGATTAATCCCATCCAATTTGCACTCTAAGAAACCATTTCTACTCTCAACTCTCTCTAGAGACAGTTATAGAAAAAGAAAACATACTTGCAGATATAAATTGTACTAAAATTACATTACCTTTACAGAATGGTTCTATATATTATTTGGAGATCAGAGCAGTTACTTGTTATCACAAAAGGCAGTGGCTTCATCACAAAACCCATCACGGTCCAGCATTTTTTGCGGGGGAGAACTTAACAAAGGGGAGGACGGGCTACCATAAGCGTTTCTTCGGGTATTGCCACAGCCAAGACTGTTTCTGGTGCTAACCCCAGTCACCGGATTCGTCCCACTTGCATACTTGCACAGGGCCTACACCAACATATCATCCATAGTAATAAATTAATAGTCGTGTAACTATCAGAATTTTACCATTTTCTAAAAATATGTTACATGTCCAAGTTATAAGATACTCTGTACAAACTTAAGGAAACATGAGGAGTAGCCCAATGCCTATAGGGTATGTTGATATTCGTGTATGCTCATTTTTGAGATTCACTTGGATCAAATCACTAAGTTTAGGGCTAGTTTGGTGAGCAAAGCAAGGTTGATATGACATGCGTTCTGAAATCTGAAAGAAATGATGAGAGTTCTAAAATCTAAAATGAAAATGTTTGGAGAGATATCTGATATGGTCATCGGGGACAAGCAGGGGGTGCCCTATTGCGGGGGGGGGGGGGGGNGCGGGAGGTCTAAAATGGCATCACTAAAGTCAGCCCCTTGGATTATGGCACCAGCAAGGTCACTCCTTGTAAGAACTGATCTAACAAGTACAGCATTTGTGAGATTGGCTTCGTTTAGAACCTGCTCAGAAAATTGTTCAGAACCCATTGTTCAGTGCCCGGGCGAGCGCTTATACAATTTCTGATCTATTGCCTTACCATACGATCCATCAATGTGTCGCTCAAATCTGCACCTATAAAAAAGATTTATCATTTACACCAAGTGCGTGATAGATACTACTTGGGAAAAGCATAGTAGTAATGTTCTTCTAATTGATCTCGCTTTACCGTTTCTTCCTTTTCGCTTTTTGAGCTCATTTTTTATTGTGTACGTACCGGTGAAATTAGCTTTGTAAGCAACTGCTTTCTCAAGATATGCCCCGTTGAATGTGGAACCGCTAAAATCTGATTCTCTCATGTCAGCAGCTGTGAAATTTGCTCTTCTGTATCAGCAAATTTAATTTGTTTATCATTATTGATGGAGTAGAAAAAGAGTTGGGATTTTATTGGGTTTCTTATCGTTGTTGCATCGATAGGGTAGAAGAGCTTTGCATTCTTAACCATTAGCTCTAAGACCAAAAAGTACATACAAAAAGTACGAGAAACATGCAAGTTTTTTTTATTATAAAAGATATAAAATGCATTTTCTAGAAACTCTTTCGGTATGCAGTAAATGTATAGCCTATGTCCATTGTAGCAACTCCAAAAACTGTTTTGACACAATTATACTATGGGATGGAGAGTTACCTGAAATTTTCATTCACATGAACAGCTTTTCTGGATAATAACATAGGAAAAAAAAAGTTACAAAGGTTAATAAATCAGAGAAAAGTATTGACTCAGTGGCCATTCGGGAGCCATTGTTTTTGGATTATGTGCCAGATTTTTAACGAGACACTAAGTTCTTGATTGCGCATGACTTGGTTAGCAATGAAAAGAAAGTTAAATGTGTTTTTGTTTGCCTGAAACTACTGAACTAAGAGTATTATTTTTTATATTTGAACAACCACGGTTTCAGTAGATTCAGCAACATCCACCCCTTAGCAAATGGGACCTTAACTATGTGACCTCACTTGAAAAGTGTAATATGGGAATGAGTCCTAGAAAGGGGCACTCTACTTGAGGTCAGCAGAACCAAACTGAGCGGCTGATCCTATCCCGAATTCCCCGCGTTGAGCAGCTTCAAACTTGTTGAGATCAGCCATGGCAGACATCTCATTGGGGCCAGATGTGATCACTGCAGCTGCCAATGCAGTTGAAACTATTGCTCTCCAAATCTTTGGCTCTGCATCAGTATTTGAGGAATTCAATCAAGAGTTTCCCTTTTCAGCTCATTTTTTCAAACAAATCCTACCTCTGATTGATTCTCTGTTTGGAACCCAGAAAACACTGGAGAAAGATGATAGGGAAGAATAAGGATGTGAAATTTGCAAAAAAAAAAAGTTCAAACTCAATGGGTCAATTTTACATATTTTCTCAAACTGATTTTACTTATATTTTTCTATTATACATAGACGGAAAAATATAAAAATATGTGAAATTATTACAATAGAAAGTATAAATATTTAAAAAGAACATCACATTCTAAACATAGCCTAAATGGTTCTCTTGTGGTTATTCCCCTTGTTTGATATATGGAAATGGAGTGATTCTCAATCCCGAGGAGCCAAAATGATCAGAATGTGTTTCGATACCAGAGTTTAATTACTAGCCCATCTATTAGTGTATTTACTAGAATAGTAACTACTAGTAATAACACAGATGTATACTTAGTTTACTTACATGGGTGTGACCGTGTGGGATTACTCGGACTGCTTGGTAGCCACAATTTAGTTAAAATATAATGTAATTACTCTGCGTATGTTTGGTTACCAATGTAACTACACCAATTGCGACAGCCCCTCTAGCAGAATTTAAAAAGTGCAATTGGACTCCTTCAATTATATGAGTTACGCCCTGATTTTGTAATTACATGACCAACCAAACATGAAAAGAACATTAATAGAACACAATTACAACAAGTTCCAACTACATACCCGCTATCCAAACACACCCACAATATATGTTGGAGCATACACTTCTCTCTCTCAGCCTATCGATAGATAGAGGACAACTACTTTTTATAGTAGAAAATCTTTCCTCACATCTAACCATAAGGTCAAGCTTTTGGTTGAATCAATTCCTTGACATGAAATTAGAGCATGTTCTACCTAGAACTTTAGAAGTCACGAGTTCAAATCTCAACAACCATCACATTTTTTAGGGCGCAAATAATGAAAGTGTCTTTAATGCAACCTCGTTTCAAATCCAAATGCATTCACATGAGAGGTGCGAAAGAGCATAAAAACTTTTATGACCCTCGAAATTGAACTATTTTCTTAAGCGTTTGGTTGATTGGCCCTTGACATAACATAACTCCATTTTCTTTCTACTCCGAAATCCGAATAAATCTAACCCAAACAGCTTTAACTTTTTGAAACTCAACCTATAAAACTAAACAACATAATTTGGACAAAAGGGATGTGAGTCTAGTACAAAAAATGTAGTCCATTCATCATTCTCCTTATCTCTAATACAAAATGTCCTGTTCAATTCAATTCCAATGTACAATATACGTAGTAGCTTCTATGTTAAGTGTTGAAACAACATACATTAATATAAAAAACAAAAACAACAAATCTAGTAAAAATCCCATGAAATTAAGATCTGGGTAGAGTGTACGCAAACCTTGCCCTACTCGAAAGTGGACATGGTGTTTCCAAGAGATCCCGACTCAAACACAGAAGCACAAACTAAACACAGAAGCACATATGCCATAGACATTAACTATGAAATTCAAAAAATATAACCGAGAGAAAAGCTGAACTTTTACCTCTCCCAAGAGAAAGAGAGCCATTCTGAGTCCGGTAGCCGAGCGGGGACGGAGATTGAATGGCAACGATGGGCTTGAGGGAAGAAGAGATGCCGATGGATTTTATTGGCGGTGGTTTTAGAGAGACTGAATTGAGTGCCATTTATGCGGAACTGCAGCTTATCCGAGAAGAAGAAGAAGAAGAAAAGGATTATGAATTTCGCCTATTTCATTGTTTTCGATCCTTTTCTGCTTCTCATGTGGAAATGCTCTGTTTGGTTGGATGGAAGATTGGCACGCAATAACAATTGGATTATCTACCTATTTTATTTTAATTTTGAGTAAATCTAAAATGACATGGGTCTTACTAGCATCATTTACTTATATCAATTCGTTTAAAGTACTTACGATGCCTTATTTGTAAAAATGATGATTCTTATCCCTCTAACCCTCCTCCTAACCTTCCTTTCTTTGGCATCCCTCCCGCCCCCCTCCCTAGCAGGGTAGGGTGGCAGTATACTGCAAGGGGTTGGGGTGAGAGTTTAGGGGGTTAGGGAATAGGAACTGTTATTCTTACAAACGAGACATTGTAGGTGCTCCAAACGAACTGGTGGATAAATAATTGGTATCATTTTAGACGCTCTTTTTAGTTTTCAAGTCTCAGAATGTTAACATTATATTTGGTTCAAAAACTCAAAAGGAAAGGAAAAGAACAAAAGTATTTAATGAATAATGCTAGAGTCACGAATAAAAAATAACAAAATGTACAATCTTACTATTTGTGTACTTCACCAACAAAAAGTAGAAAATTAAATGCTCAAACAGCAAATTTGTATTTTTTGTGATCTTTGTATTTGTGACTATCAATTGTCTTCTTTACTTTTCCTCTCCAAAACATAACAACAACCCAGTTGGATCCCACTCCAAAATGAAAGGAAAATTATTTTTCTTTTCATGATTTTATTTTTTTTTTCTTTTACTTTTTTATTCTATTCATTTCTAGCTAAACAAGAAAAATTATTTTTCATATCTTTTTTCTTAAGTAAAGTAACAAGATTGACAAGAAACTCACTCAACTATTCATTTTTATCAAAAGTGTCACTACGTTTTTTATTCAATAATGTCATTGAGCTCTCCAATATGTTCAAAAATATTACTCAATAATTCTACTTGTCAAAAATGACAATGCTTTTTCTTTCAATAATGTCATTGAACCTCCTGAAATGGTAAAAAAGTGACATTTTTGACAAAATAGAATTGTTGAGTGACATTTTTAAGTATTTTAGAGATTTCATTGACATCACTGAAAGAAAAAAGGGAGTGAGATTTTTGAAAACACAAAATAGTTTAGTGCCATTTTTGTCATAGCACTCTTTTTTTGTTATGTTTTTTTTTCAAATTTCTTAAACCAAATATAGTGCTAATTTATTTTCTCTTCTTAGTTTTTTTCTTCAACTCTTATTTTCTAACCAAACAAAAAACTTGTTTTTCATATCATTTTCCTTGAGCCAAATATAGTTACATTATTTTTGGTTAATGTAATTCGGAAGAAAAGAAAAAAAAAAAGGATTGCTTTATTTTTTCCTCACCAAAATAGGAGAAAAGTTATTTTCTTTTATCGTAGTTTATTCTATCTTCTCATTTTCTTTTCCTTTCAATCTTCTTTTTTTCCTCTCTAACCAAACAAGAAAAAATATTTTCAAACAGAATATCATTTTTTTCTTTTTCCCTTCCAAATTTCTTGAACCAAGGTAAAATAACTATATTTGACTCAAGAAATGTATCTTGACTCTTGAGTGGAGGATCCACTTGTGTTTCATTGGGTTGTTACAACTTACAAATGAATAATGACCGAAACCAGTACACACGTAGGGGCATTTCAATGAAACAAGACAAAGTATAAACTTGAAAAAAGAAGACATAATGGTAAGGATCGTGCTAGAAACCCACTACGCGTGCCTCCACGGATGACAATTACAGATAATTTATACATACACAGTGTGTTTAGAGACGATTGTCGTCTATGTATGTATAAATATTGTCATCCGCAGGGCACTCGTGGTGGGTTCCTAGCATTTTTGTAACGGTAAACATCAGAACTGGGTTCAAGCTATGGACCTTCAAGATGCAAGAGGGAGAGATTCGATTCTCATCATCCGCGGTTTATACTATCTCAGTATTTTCCCCTCCATGAATGCCATTTGAGTTGCAATTGGAATAGGAGGGGAGGGGCTCCTAAAAGCCCTCGCGTCAGCCTCGGATCAAACACATCAAACCCCACACGTCTTAAAGAATCCAGCATAAACTGGGCAGGCACAGCTGGAAGAAGCACGGGGCGGGCTTCAACGGGCACAGTGTCTCTCAATTCGCGCGCTTTCTTCAGATGTCTGTTGCCAACAGAAGCCATGTCAAAGACAACCTCAGGAATAATTCCCTCTTGCCCGCCGTGTTTCTCTGCCATGTCAGCAGGTATGTACAGAGAAAGCCGGTTTCTCCTTGCGTGGTAAGGTAAAGACCTTAGGAGCAACAAAAGGCCGTTTGCCTTCCCAATATGTGACGCTGCGTGGTCTGCTGCTGTTGACCTAATGCCACCTGCTTGAAGAGTGGAGTAGAGAATGGTTGAAGCAGTGTCCTCTGCATATCTCTCCAGCTCTTCCAAGGTTGTGGGAGGTGGTGGTGAGGAGTCATCAGACTGCTCTCTTCTAGCTTCTTTAATGCGAGCTTCAACGGATCGCTTCAGCCAGCTCTTACTGATTTTGGTTTCGGACGACAAGACAACAGATGCAAGTGCCTGAGCTACTGGGTGCTTGACTTGCTTGTTGGCGTAGAGCTTTTCCAGAGCTTCTTGCCACCACAAGAGGCGCATGAGACCAATGTTAGGGTCAGAGGAGACATCCATGGCTCGGGATGTCTCTACGTTAAATGCACGGAGTGCAAATGCAGCTTTTCTCATGGTTGGAGGGAGTTCAAGAAGGCAGAGGTAGTGGTGATAGTCATAGTTCCGGACTTGCTGCACACAATAGGAGAGAGCAGCCCGTAGGCTGCCCGAACTGGAGGAGGCACCGGTCGTCATCAAATCCTCGGTTCCATAATAAGCAAGAAATTACTCCCTCCGTCCCCCAAAGAGAGTCCTGTTTGAGTAAGGTTAAAAATAAAAAAAAATAAATAATAAAGCATCCTTAGTCAATTTATTCAAGGTGGAAGCTTTTACAAATTATGAATGGTCACTCACAAATCACACTTGTAAAACTTAATTCATAGCTTGTTTTGACTAAAATAGCATTTCAGACGAATGAGAGTTCATAATGGGGGATGAAGAGAAGGCACTGTAATTCATCAATGGAATGGGGAAGAGGCAGAAAGAAAAGATCTAAAGATTCAATCTTTTCAATCATGTGTGCATCCTCTTGGACATAGGGGAAAGAAATTCAAAGATCCTACTGAAGGGGTTTTCTTTCTTTAAAAAAAACTGCATCAAGTATCAAACACTCCCTACGTCCCATAAGTTTTGGGACATGGATAGGTGGCACACAAACTAAGAAAAATGGAAGTGTGTGTTGTGTGGTCTTCATTTGAGCCACACAAATGTTAGAAAATGCAGAATGGGACAAAAATACGGGCGACCAAAAATAGTAAAACATGACAAAATAGGGGGACGGCGGGAGTAGAAAATAGAGAGAACACTTTATAAACTGTCACAGATCACAATGTAAATGAGATTCTCCACAGGTTGGCAAGCCACTAGAGAATCATATAGCATTTATTGATGGAGGAAAGAGATATATCAAATCTTAACTCCCCAACACAAACTTACTTTGACTCTCAATGTGGTTCCCTAATTGTTGTTAACATATAGAGATTGATTGTTGTGGAATTTGATTGGTTCGTATTGAGATTGTATGACAATAATCGCCTTGACTGGCGATAGCAAATTGTGTGAGATCTTTTGGCAGAAGGATGATGTTAGTCGTTTATATAGTACTCCCTCCATCACAGTTAATAACGAACTAAAATTGTGTGTGATTTATGCATATGAACACCAAAGTTTTTTCTATTTTTTCGAAATATGATTCTTAATTTGGGAAGGGCAAACAAGAAGAACAAAAACCTGTTTAGGAAAGACGTAGTGTATAGCAGCAATAGTAGTTTTGTTCAGTTTTACTTGTTACTTTTTATTAATTATTGTGTTTGTTATATCATAAAACAATACTCCATCCGTCCCAAGATGAAGGTTATTTTAACAAACTTTGACCAGTAATTTTTCTTAAAATACTGAGTCAAAAAATATTAAATTTATAACCCGTGTTATATTTGCGGTGGAAAGTGATAACATGATTTGTAAACTTTTTACTTTTTAACTACTCCTATATATTTTAACAACAACTGATTTATTCAACTAAGAAGTTATCACTTATCACATGGTCATTTATTGTTATGGAGGGTAAAACTACATTAAAAAATATAAAGTCCATCTTTTCACTCAAAAAGCTACTCTTGTAGCATGTTTAGTTTCCCCAATTGTGGCATAGCTGTGAAATGTATCGGTCATTTACCGAACATATGGGTTTGGTCGAATCTGCCAGAAATTAGCGGATCCACCACTTAACAAAACAGACTGACATCAACCACTAATGAACTATGGAGAACACTTAAATGTTCTCAAAAATAGAATAAATATTCACCCTAAGAATGATGGCAATGATGGTCTCAATTCTGCAGTCCTTAGTGTCTGCTTGGCACATTTGTTTTTCTATGTATCGGCATTATCAGCCATATTTTTCATCAACAACAACAACGAACATAGTAAAATCCCAGAAACAGATTTCATCAAGAACTACTATATGGAAAATTGATCAACTCATGCAGATTAAATCATTTCATGCCTTGTCGAACAGGCCTTTAACCTTCATTCCAAAGCAACCTTCAAAACTTATTTGTCTCATGCATGCTAAATGCAAACCAACCGAGTTCAGCCCAAGAAACAAGCTTTTGAGAACCCGAAGATAAGCCAAAGACCGTAATCTTTACTTGGATTCGACGAATGCAGGGTAAAACCAATCAACCATATGTAATGATATGTGATTTCCATAAATGGGGTAAAGCATATTTTCTTATTTAGTGATATTGGTTACTCAAGTTTCATTACATTGAAGGTTCAAGTCTCATCCATAGGGGAAATGCATCTTTGGTGCCGTTTGAAAACCCATTATTTAAGCAAATTTACTCCAATGCAATTTTTCCCCTTTTTTGCAATTTGATACATCTCTCAAATAGATAAAGTATCAAATTGTAAAATCTAAACCGGTATGGCTCTAAATTTGTGTATGGCATGTTTGGGAACTTAAATTTGGATTTCAAAACCGGATTTGGCCCAAATCTTATGGAATCTTAAAATTTTGGATTTGAGGCAAATTTCTCTAATTCATAACAAATCTCAAATACAAATCCATATACCTCCCCTTGTCACGTGAAATTCAAGAATTCAAATTTTAGAATTGAAATGCAAGGATTGTATTGAAAATTTGAAATGCTATTTCCCAAACACTGCCTTATGCACTTTGTAAATGAAATGAAAAACTAAAAAACTGAGTTGCGAATGGTACCAAAATTGCAGTTTTTCCCCCATCCCTAACACACATTGTAATAAGATGAGAGTAAGAGGCCCTCTGTCTGATAACCTACATTAATTAAGGAGAAGGCGAAATAGAAATTGAGAAGAAAACGAATCAGCACAAGAAATAAAAGATCGCTCTTTTCGCAGAGCTGACAAATTCGGTTATTTCCTCTGAAGCGTTTAATGTTATTAAAAAAAAATTAGGGATTCATTAGCAGGGAGTGCATAGTTGCTTACTTGTAGGGGCTGGTGGGCAGATGCTGTGGCGGAAGATCGGAGGCAGCAGACGGCGGCGTGAAACAAGAGTCGTTGGCTGGCTCTGAATCCTGGGAACTGAAATAACGGCGGCGACTCCGCCACTGCTGGGATAGGGGGCGCGAACTGCGCCGCCGCTGTATCTCCTCTTGGACCCGTCTGTGACCTGAAATGAAGACTCATGAGTCATAGGAAAGTGGGTTAATTCGCCCAAAGTGTGGTAACAGAATTTAACATTTTAGAATTCACCGATTAAAACATAGAGAAAAGTAATAAAATAGGACTTTTATATTTTCATTCCCGATATAGGACTTCATGTGGTAATGTGATTGTAATGTGGCACTGCACATGCGCATATTAATATATTTTTTGTTAATGTACATGACCATTGGTAATGTAAATGCTTTTTACATCCTATTTCGAGAATAAAAACACGAAAGTTCTATTTTGGTATATTTTCAATGTTTTAGTCTCACTTTAGTCTTTGTCCCTTAACATTTTTATGGCAAATTCTATAGTAGATCTAAGGTCCTTTATAGATCTACAGTGTTTCTTTATTACTCCGTATTTATATAGGTACGGAGTATATGTTATTACTTATAACAAAATTATGTGAGAAGATCATAGCATGCACCCAAGGTAAATTATAGAAGTGCTCCTATTTTATTCATATGTAGGAGTGATTATAAGAGTACCGGAAATAATGGAGTTTCAAGTCTGCTCTCTGACTCTCTGTTACATCAAAATCAATCCTTCTTTAAACTTACATCACATATTTATTAAAATTATTGAGCTTCAAACTGGGGCTTGAAAAGCCTTATTTTTTTAGAGTGTTTCTATTGTTCATATTGGGTTCATATTATTTTTGTGCACTTTCTCACACAAAAAAACTTATTTTTTATTTTTAATTTTTATTAAAATAAATGCTATTAGAATTTGCTATTTGCTTCATATGTAGGTCTATAATGGACCTTAGATCCACCATAGAATTTGCTTGTCTTTTAATATACATTCTGAAAACTAAAATTAAAAGGATTTTATTGGTAATAACATAAATAAAAATTGCATTAGTTTTAAAAAATATACTTTCTTGCCGTCTCATGAGCTTTGTGCCATTTATCGTTTTTACCTAGTTGTCTACGACAAGACCAATGTCCGGCCCACGTGGTACAACGGGGAGTTGACGTCACCAGGTAGCATCACCCCTCCAGTCTTTTGCATTGAATTCAGAACAATTTCCCCCAGAACTCCTACATGTTGCATGGGGATCTGGAGATTCTCCCCGTTGGCAGCCCGCCGACGCGAGATGCGATCGCAGAGATCAACGGTGGGGTGGATGGTGATGTCGTTTGAGACTGACGTCCAGATCATTATCACAGGTGTTGGTTGGTGTCGTAACTGTGATCAGGTTAGCACCGCTATTGGCGACAACAGTTGACCTTGTCACTCTTTGTGAAATAATCATCATGAAAGAGCAAATTTAACGAGTTCCAAAACTCTTAATGAAAACACCAATGAGGAGTTTGTGAACCTTGGCTTAAAATAGACTAGGTTATGGGAGTAGTCGAACGAACAGAGTACCCTTAGATTGTGTGAGTAGTTCTGATTATGATGTCTCGTCCTTGGATTGAGGGGGGCATATATGCATGACATATGCTTCCATCTATTTGTTCCATCTATTTGTCACCTAGTTGTTATCTACGACAAGGCCAATATCAGGCCCACGTAGTAAACACATGGGGTGTGGGGTCCATGACAGAGGTACAAGGAATATATGTGCAGATACATGCATTACTACGTTGCACATATGCATTATACATGAAGGATGTTCCTTAGTGGGCCCATGGATGAGAAATCCAAAACTTCTTGTAATCTCGTGTTTAAGGCTTGTGACGTCAAAGGCCGGGTACGTATCCAACAGCGGCTGAGTATAGATTTCTGTCATCCTGGCACCCGCACCACCAGGGTAAACTGTCAAGTTCGAGCTCGTGTTCCTAGGTAGAGGTCGGGTATGACCATGCTAGTATAGAAGACTTGATTCAGATGTCCCACGCTTTGCATGGTATACTTCACTTGGTCGAGTGTGATTCGTTTCTTCAAAACTCAGTGGGCTTCCGTGTTGGGCAAACTAGTTGACTAGGTCGAATACCCCCTAGTCTAGTGTATCCATCAGGAATAATCTGGATATATTCCACTCGCAACATAATATCCACACTTGTAAAGCGTCCCTCTAAGCTTAAAAGACGAATCGAGTGCAGTCTCATTAACTCATTCGTCAAATAGGGCAATTAATCAATAACATTTATGTCATTGTTCAAGCCGACAACATCAAAAAAACATGCCAAAACCATAGGTCATTTGAACTTACTGCTTCAAGAACAATAGTAGGTTTGAGATTATCACTCCATTAGTACTAACCATGCCACGTTGTAAGACCATTTTTTCATTTTTAACACGTGCAATCGATACTTCCAAACATGCCGACAAAGCCATGTTTAGCGTCGTGCCTCATTGTAACTACGCTTGTTGTGGGCTTACGCAAATGCATCTTTGACATAGTCGAATAATAGTTTTAGAGAATTTATAGACACATGACCTGATGTTTCAAGCCGATACCTTCAAGTATTCGTTGAACAAATCGCTAGCGTTTCCGTATGCCATTTGGCGTAGTGTGGCAATGCACTGTTGGATGCTGCTAAAATTGTGTCGGCCTCTTGCATCAACCCGTTGGGTGAACCAAGACACCCATGTTCCGTATCCTATAGTATTCTTAAAAACAAAGAACGACTCATTCGAAAACAGTTACTAAAATCTTCCGGCATGTAAACGCACGGAGTGTTAAAGTGGTCGCTGAGTAGGGATGGCAACTTGAACCCAATCTTAACCAACCTGTCCGAGTACTAAAATATCCAAACCCGAATTGAGAATAAAATAATTCGAATCCGACCCAAAATTTTTTACCCAAACCCGACATAGGGTCGGGTTAGGTGTGCGTTTATAATTTTACCCGACTTGACCCCGAATATTTTATAACCTAAAACCCTATCTACATATATAATGAGCACTCCGTATAATCTCTTTTTTTTTGATTTTCTGGCACAACCGCATCTCTCTCTTGGTCCTTACGTTACATCTTTGTGTTTTTCATTCTCTTTGTATGGTTTTTCCTTCCTTGCATCTCTTCCTTCCTCGCATCTCTAGTTTGTCTACTGTCTTGTTCGCATTTCTAGCCACGTAATCGTCTTGACAGGGTACTACTATATCAAGTATCTCTTTTATAATTCTTTTTATAATTCCTCGATCAAAAAATGAGACACCAAAAAAATGAGAAAAAAGAATTTAGATTTATTCTTTTTAAAATTCTCGGGGTACGTCGAATGAGTTAATGGTTAAATTATAGATTCATGTTCAAGTTTAAATGTGGGGTTTGGGTTGGATTCGGGTTTCGGATTTAAAAGTCAGGTCGGGTTCGGGTATAATACTATCCTACCTTAACTCGACCTATTGCCATCCCTATCGCTAAGTAGTGCTTCGTGCGCAATCACCCGGTCATAGTTTAAATGCACACGTCAGGTTGAGCGCAAGCTGATTTTGCATCCTCTTGTTGTTGATGTTGCCACCACTGATAACACCCCGTGGAGAAAACTCAGAACATGAATGCTTTTCTCTCTTCATGAGATGAAGATGATGATTTCATTTCTTTTATAAAAAATACAAGGTATTTGGGTTATAGAGAAAATGAGAATATTTGTGTCTATGTTTTTTAAAACGAGAGGATATTTATAGTTGAAAATAAAATTTTAAAAAAATTAAAAACTAGCCAACGGCCACATTTTGGACCGTTGGGCCCTGGCAACGACTCACTTCCTCAGCTTTCAGTTGCGTTAAACCTTTCAATGCATGAGACTTAACACCATAACGTCGTAGGGCGTAGGGGCGGTGTTTAACATCATAACGACGTTAAACACCAGTTTGACGCAGTGAGGGATACACCCATTTCGCCTACTCTAAGTGATTAATGTGTGCAGTTAGATTTTCTTAAATAAAAAAATTGCCCATTTAACTTAAATTTTGAAAAAAAGCAATGTCTTTATATCGATGATTTAATTAAGGGGGTGTTTCTGTGCTACTGCATATTGACTTATTATTGATAGATAATTTATACTCCCTCCGTCCGGTATTAAAGTTTACGTTTTGACTTATTGTCATTTTTATTGGGAGTTGACTAAGCACATAAAATACCAAAAATACCCCTTTCTCCCCTTTTTGCTTTTCCACCTGAACACAATACGATCCAGCCCACAACTCCGATCCCTCAGCTTCCGCCATCTACGGAAGGCCTCAACACTTCCTTACCGGGACTGGAAAATCTAGTCTCCTCCCTGACGGCTCAAAATCGAAAAACAGCCCATCCTCGACCGCCTCGCTTCTCCCGCTGTCGAACAAAGTTTCCACCTCCGGATCTTCGGCACCGGCCTCCACGGATGGGTCCAAAGCCAGAGCCAATCTCGTAGTCAACTCCTCACAGTCTCCGCCGTCGAGGATGTCATAAACCTCCCTGTCGAAGAACCCTGGAAGCTTCCTCTCCCTCCTCAAATCGTTCCTGGAAGCCGACCCGAATTCCAGCCCAGCCGTCCGGCCCCTCCTGACCCGGCTCTCCACGACTCCTCTCTCTTCCCCTGTATGAGCACCAGGATCTCTTGCCTCGTCCACCAGGGAAGCCGCGGCGTCGGGAGAAAGAACTGGGGAAGGTCGGGAGAAAGAAAAGAAGAAGAAGAAGAAGAAGAAGAAGAAGAAGAAGAATAAGGAGAAGGAGAAGGAGAA